GTCACACAAGCGAACGGAGAAGAGCTGCCGTTGGCTTGGAAAATGGGGTTTGGATTTCACGAGAGTCGATATGGTATTACAGGGGTCGTCTCCTTGGGGTGGTCGCGTCTTGTGATTGATCCCTCACGCACATCTCGCAATTGAGACATCATCATAACAGGATCTTCGGCGAAGGGTATGGAGTTTCTCAGGCTTGCTTCCCTTTTGCATTGCTCAGCGCAAAGGCATGCCTCTCGTCGAGACACTCAAATCAAATATCTTAACCCACACAAGAATGTACGAAAAGCTCCGTGAAGCTGATCATTTTCCATTCCAGGGATTCATCTATTCTCAATTTACCGTATTCTGAGACGTGACTATACAAATAAGTCCTTATGTGTGCACATATTTCCAATTTACTGAGGTTCAATTGATTTGGCTCTATCTTCGTGTCAATTGTCGCTTTTGATGTCCAAATCCTGTAAAATGGATGCTAGGAAAAGGGGAATTCGAGCGCAACCATTGCTTTAGGGCCCAAGTATTTGATTGGGCAGATGGGTGAGAAGAAATAGCACGTGGAAGGGAAATTCATACACCATAAAATTTATTAGCAAGAAAGCAGAAGGCGAGCACCAGAGAAAAAAATTCTCGTGAAATATTAATAAGAAGTTGCGTCAAAGTGAAGAATACCGTATAATGGAACAACACAAGGAAACAAGAAAAAGCTCACATGAAAGCTCAATTTATGTATATATTTATGATGTGTGAAACTCATCTCTTTTGGCAACAACCGCACGTTATATTAAAGCAAATAAAATCGTCTGCACTCTGACAAGATGGCAAAATAATTATTTATTAGGAATGTACATATCTAAAGCTGAAATAACGCAGAAAATTAATTTTAATTTTGAGAAGGAAAATATTCCACGTAGAGATTAAAAATTAATTCCACATCAACGGTAGAGAATATATATTTTTTTCACGACTGCATATAAATTCAATTTCCTTAGCTATGCTTCGTGGCACGGTAGTTGGAAAGTTAAAAAATATTAATTAGATGCTACAAAACTGGAGACATCCTGCAAATACCCACAGCATAATTTCCCCTTTCTGAGTTTCTTGGTGCGAAAAACTGACGTTGGCGAATATTGTTGCTCATTTAATTAATTAATGCTCGAGATCGCTCCCTCATTTGTGTCCCCAATGAGCGGAGTCATAATTATTGTAGGGAAGCGGAGGTGAATAATGATAACTTAATATAAATGGACGGTATATAAACGTAATTTGATGACTAAACATGAATATCCATGTTACCTTCAATTCCCCTAGATAAATGTGGGATATTTTATTCTGTGACTTCATATCACGTAGCTTTAACAATATTGGAAAAGCTCTTTCCTATCATCTTAATTGCGTCCGCATGAAAACTTCCACTTTGTCTCGTTTTTTTTCACACTCAAAATCTCTGATGTAAAATGTAGAAAATTGCCCTCGCTTCTTATATTTTTAGTGACAATTTTAATTCCAGTCATGAACATTTTCAGAAACTTTGATGTTGAAATTCCAATGCCAGCACACTCAGAAAATTCGCATTTAATTAAATAAGAAAGTTTTCTGCCTTTGTGAGCAAATAAAAGATCAACACGCGTCTTGCGTCTTGAGAAGCTTGAGTTTTCGCTCTTCGCCCATTATAATACAGAGAGTAAACGATATAAATACATTCTTTATGATACTGTGGTCAGAAGAAAAAAATGTTTACAAGAAACTATATGAGGTCAATTCATAACAACACGTGTTATGGTGTGTTATTGGACGATAACGACTGTTTTGATAATTCGGCTAAAATAATAGTAGCTACATTACACTTTTATAAAGTGATTGAAATGTAACAAGTCATAAATACAAATAAAAAAATGTTGTTCAATTTGGTGTTTTAAAGATTCTTCAAATTGTGCTCCCTGAGCAATTTCACTCGGAGTATGCGTGATTGTCATTTTCATGGTGGCATTATTTCACTGTGAAAAGACACCGTCGTGAAATTGCCTAACATGATTAAGTAATAAAATAAAATTATAATTAATCATATTGTCAACAAGGTGAATTCCCTTGTTGAACACACCATCAAGTGGATAATTGAGTGAAAAAACATCCGGAACAATATAAGAAGTCACCACGCGAGCGTGGAATATTTCGTCAGAATTCTGCAGAACGGAACATGTGGATATTTCTGCAAATTCTTGTCACAAATCATTACAAACTCTATACACTCGTGTAATTGGTGCCATCACAAAAGAACAGAGGCAACTTTCTCTCGCCCAAAGGCGAAATTGAATCAAGTGCAACACACAATTTATTTATGATTTCATCCCTCAGAAAGCATCTGTTCCATTTGCCACCGAGCAAAGGAGAACTTTCGGTGAGAGAGCTTTTCCTCAACGTGCACGTGGATTCTGCCATCACAATGAAATATTCAGGCCAGAGGGATAAATTTTATTTCCCTCTTTGTCGCTAACGCATATAAGAATAAACACTAAACACCCTCCAGGGATGATGGGAGATGAGAGAGACAAAGGAACTTTGAGGGACTCTTTACTACGCAGTTTGCACAAGTCACGAAGGAATTATGGGACAAAGAAAGTGGGTACACAGTCATTTGAAGAATAAAAAAAAATATTTTACGCAATATAACTGCCACCGAATACTAAGATTTATCCAGTAAGCAAATACGCGTGGCACAATAAATTTCAATTTGGAAAGTGCATGCGAGCTCACATACATACTGTATTTGTGAAGAGCTGCCTTATTTATTTACTGAACTACGTATGTTCTATATCTAATATATTATTTAAACTTATATAATGTGTATGTGAATCTCGAAGCGAAAACCATCAAAGCGAAATGTACGGCAGAAGAGATTTACTGAGTTTTAATATTCAAAGAACATCCGGAAAGCTCATTCGACCAGAGAGTTTCTTCTTTTCCTCGGGCAGATGCAATTATCATGAAGTGAGTGAAATTTTTCCTACACAGTACAGTGACAAGTTCAAGAGATGGTAATTGTATATTTAACCTTCCTTCTTATCTTGCTATCTTGGAATGGCAGGGCACTTTGCAAGTTGAAGAGAATTTGACTCACGGCAGGGTTTCTTGGGTTCACATGTTTCATGGATGTCAGAAAAATAAACCCACTTCAAATTGTCGTGGAGATTATAAACTGATTTGATATGAAGACAAACTCTATATGTGCATAAAATAAACTAAAAACTGACATTTCAATTTAATTTCGCAATGTCACACTTTTAATGCTATTCAAATGAGTTTTCTACTAAAATTTCTCACCAGATGATGAAATCCTTTTCAGTTTGTATAGAATGTGTGTATTCGTACAACTTATATGACGGACACATAATGAGGAAAATTTAATTAAAAGCTCTCACAACAAACCACATACGTACATAAACTTAATTGAATGATCGTGTGAGAGACTTCTTGGGGTAAATCAAGTGTGAAGGAAGGAAGAATGAGATCTAAAAGTTCATTTTTGTCAATCAAATTCAATTTTCTCCTCGGTTGACACAAACCAGAGCCTGGAATCATATATAGAGCTCTAATAAGTGTTTTAATATCACATATTCAGCTAGAATATAAGTGAGAGACAATTGAATATCCTCTTGTTGGAATATTCGATTCCTATTTGCCCCATTAAATCCACTTTACGGAGTAGATTCGCAATGCACAGTGCCACATATCACATAGAGAGAATGAATTGAATTATGGCGTAATGAATTACATCTTCAATATTATACGATGCTGTGTCGTGGCAAACAGATGAATCACTTTCCCCTTCAACTTCTTTTCCATATATTTTTCCATGTTGCTCTTTAAGCATGCCCACGGTTTACCATTATTGTGGCATCTCACAGGAAATATTTATGGCAAAGGAAAACACGGTGGCGAGGTGGTAACTAAATATAGAAATCAGTGAAATGTTGCTTGACATTTCACCAAGACAAACATCAATATCACCTGTCGATGAAATGTCCTTTTTCGGCACGAACTCCCACTTTATCCTCTCCACACTAAATCCCCACACAAATGTTTACATTCTTGTACTTTTATGAGAATTTGACACTCTCCACGATGATTGGAAGCTTAAGTAGTCCTCACGAAAGAAAAATAATAAACAAGAACACAAATATCTCCACCCATCATGTGTCCATCCTCGAACATCAAGCTTATTACAAGAAATATTGCCAGAACATTCCAAAAACCCTCAATTCGAAGAAATTTTGTTGATAACAGCACAACATAATCTGTCTGTGAACTTGTCAATGAATCACACACTTTATTCTAGCCAAACATTTGGTCTCTCATATCAGCAATGTAATTGCTGGAAGACTACGATATTTTGAGTGATTATCAGTGAAATCATTTCTGTGCAAATGAAAAGGAATTTGTAACTTAAACACTTGCTTTTTATTGCAGCCATAAAGCTACTTTATAGTGTCACCATGAGCTGATAAATTTCATGCTTAATATCAAAGAAAAAGTATGAAATTGCGGAAATTTCTCTCATAAAATCAAGCTTTTGAAGTCAATAGTAATTTTTTGATTTTTTAGACTCGAATTCCCAATCACTTAATAATTGACTTTTATGGTAGGAAATGAAGCTTAGTGAATAACTTACGTGTGTACCTTTTCTCGTCTTATCAAAAGCGCCCGCTTTCTCACACAATTGCCCCTATCGGTATAGACTTTAAGCCAATATGTCACTCTTTATGCTTGCCGTAATAATTGGTCATTCATTAAAAAACAATAATTCTGGAGATTTTCTCGCAATCAAAAATCAACTGATACCCTTATCTTGCCAAATGTTTCACGCCTATAAAAGAAGAATGCACTCGCAATTTTAATCATAAAGTGCCAAAATGTTTCAAAAGAGTGTTCACCAAGTTGGTTTAGTGCTTCTTTCCGTTATATTAGTGGCTGCAGCATCCGAGTGCCATCTAAAGGATGTACTAATGTTAGCACAGCACGACGGACAACCAGCATGTCTGATCCGATACGAGTTTACAAGGCGTTGGCGCAATAATTTTGATGCCAGATTTTATTGGGAGTGCCAAGTGTGGAATTTCCCCGCGGTGAAGCGTCAGTGTCCATCAGGAACGCTATTTCAGGACTCTTGGCAAACCTGTTTGCCTTCGGCCATGTGGGTATGGACTCCGTACAGTGAACCCCCCACGAGAGCCGGCCAAGACAATGAAGATCAATGCGAACCTATTGACACAGGAATTTGTCCTCCACCAACGCCACCAACGGAACCCCCAACTGAAACAACAACATCTGATGGACCAACTAGTATGTATAGAAAGCCATTTCATACGTTGAAATTAAATTAACATTCATGGATGGTTACTATATTCTTTTAATGCGTTATTTTCTTATTTTATAGACACTACCCCTGAAAATCCGACAGAAAGCACTCCCGACTTTACGTCAGAAAGCAGTAAGAATATACAATGCCTAATTTTAATATATTAACAAGTTCGTATAATTCATATTAACTTCTTATTGTATAGCTACAACTCCTGAGACAACGCATACTCCAACACCACCACCTATCACTACCACTCCAGAAGAGTCCACAAGCACTGAATCCACAAAACCACCAAAAACAACGACCCCACAGGAAACTACTACAGATAGTACAACTCCTGACACCACGCATACTCCAACACCACCACCTATCACTACCACTCCAGAAGAGTCCACAAGCACTGAATCCACAAAACCCCCAAAAACAACGACCCCAGAGGAAAGCACTACAGAAAGCACTACTCCAGGTACACAAACACCCCCAGAAAATCCTGGAACGTCCACACCAGAAGACACAACCACTGAATCACAGACGACACACACTCCAACACCACCTCATATAACTACTACACCCGAAGAGTCAACAACAACACCCCCCAAAACAACCACAGAGGAGCCGCCGACGACTACTACTGAGAAGCCGCCGAAGACTACCACAGAAGAGCCGCCTACTACTACTACGGAGGAGCCAACCACGACAACTCAAAAGCCTCCGAAGACTACCACAGAAGAGCCATCAACTACCACAGAAAAGCCACCGAAGACAACCACAGAAGAGCCATCGACTACCACTGAGAAGCCGCCGAAGACTACCACAGAAGAGCCGCCTACTACTACTACGGAGGAGCCGACCACGACAACTGAAAAGCCTCCGAAGACTACCACAGAAGAGCCGTCAACTACCACTGAAAAGCCTCCGAAGACAACCACAGAAGAGCCATCGACTACCACTGAAAAGCCTCCGAAGACTACCACAGAAGAGACGTCAACTACCACAGAAAAGCCACCGAAGACTACCACAGAAGAGCCATCGACTACCACAGAAGAGCCGTCTACTACTACTGAGAAGCCCCCCAAGACTACGACAGAAAAACCTCCGAAGACAACCACAGAACAGCCGACGACGACTACTGAAAAGCCTCCGAAGACAACCACAGAAGAGCCGTCAACTACCACGGAAAAACCGCCCAAAACTACAACAGAAAAACCTCCGAAGACCACAACAGAAGAGCCAACTACAACAGAGAAGCCGCCGAAGACTACCACTGAGAAGCCTCCGAAGACCACTACAGAAGAACCGCAGACTACGACAGAGAAGCCACCCAAGACTACCACGGAAAAACCGCCCAAAACTACGACAGAAAAACCTCCGAAGACCACCACAGAAGAGCCAACTACAACAGAGAAGCCGCCGAAGACTACCACTGAGAAGCCTCCGAAGACCACTACAGAAGAACCGCAGACTACGACAGAAAAGCCACCGAAGACTACAACAGAAAAGCCTCCGAAGACTACAACAGAGAAGCCTCCAAAGACTACCACAGAAGAGCCTACCACTGAAAGTCCTGGTACTAGCCCGTCCCCGGAATGCCCTACTTGCCCACCGAACTTAGGACTCTGCCCGGGCGCTGAACCTGAGCAATATGCCCCTGGGCCTTTGGACTGCGATGTTCGCCCAGAATGTAGACCACCTCATCATCGCAATAAATTGTATCCGAGAAGGGACCCAACGAGCTACTTCTACTGTGGTCCTGGCAATGGAAATGTTAGGATTGCTGAGTGTCGTCGCGGGGAGTGCTTCCACTACGGAAAGCAAAGCTGCGTTAATGCAAAGAAATGGCAAAACTATTGCATGCATTAATATGTTTTCATTAAACGGTATTTGGGAAATGAACTGAAAATTTTGGCTGTAAAACTAAATTTATATATATATATATATATACACTGAAGGCAAATAAAACTGTTGAAAGACTTTCTTTTCTTATCAATGAAATTTATGAAAAATTTCAGATAAAAAAGTAATCGTGTAACAACCCAATCAATCAATTTTATGCAAAGATTCGAGACAAAACCATTACTGTGCAGTTTTCTGTGAATTTTCTAAAACGTTTTTTTCCATCACGAAATTTCTCTAACATAAAAAGACACATACAAAGTTAGTGTAAACCCTGTAAACTTATTTTACAACCTTCTAACTTACTCATCGACATGAAAGACTTTTATTCATTAATTGAGCAGATGTATTCCTTATCTTATCTAAAGAAAATACGAGAATTTGACGTATTTAAACTCTTTACGTTGCAATTAATTCAAATATTATCTATTTTCATTTGCTGTGCAATGTCGCAAAGGGAAGTTTCTTAAAGAGTTCAAAGTCGAATATTCACATTGATGACATATTCTATCAATGACTTTTATTTTATTGTTGTCCCCATTGTTATGATGTCACCATGTCAATTGTAGGATCCATTAAATTAAATTATACTTTAAATTGTTTTTAAAAGACAGCAAAGTTTTCTACACTTGGCAAATACACTCAACGAATAATTAATCTTCTGATTTTATGTATCAAAATAAGTTTCCAGAATTTTTTTTAGTATCTTACAAAAAAAAAAGAATGCAAAAATAAAGAACGATATAATAAGTATACTTTCCCTGAAAATATGTACTTTTATACCTTCCATTATTGAGTCACTATGAACTTCCTGTGTCGGTGATTTTATTTCCATCTCATAATTGTTCTACACAATTGTTTGCACAATCATCATTCCTACTCTCATTCAAAACAATTTGATACTCGGAACAAATTGTGGTAATAGCATGGAAAACAGAGAGTGGGGGATGAACACTCAAGAAATGTGTCGATAAGAGACATTTTTATGATTCCAAGTGATACAATATCCCAAAAGGTTGATAACATGTTCACGAGGGAAAGTATAAAAGCACCAGTCACGGATTAAGCAGTCGTTAGTGCTGTGAGAGAATATAAACGAGAAACAATGGTGATTAAAGGAGCGATATTTTATGTGCTGTGTTTACTGTTTCTTACGGAACATGTTTTGTGTCAAGATAATCCGAACGATGGAAGACCAGGATGTTGGACGCGATACGAGTTTACTCGGTTTTGGAGAAATAGAATAAACAATTCCGATTACTTCAAATGCGTAGAGTGGGGAACGTCTCAAGTTGTAGTGTGCCCACAAGGAACACTATTTCAAGAATCATGGCAGACTTGTGTCCCAGAGAAACATTACATCGATCATCCATTTTATGATCCCCCAACGAGTGCATACACCAAGGCTGATGACGCATGTGAAGAGATAATCTTTCCACCACAATGCAAACCTAATGAGAATGAATCGCCACAACCAACTGATACAACACCGGCGTTCACGACAGATGATGGGGAAACAGGGACTTCACAGCCTCCAACCGACCCCCCAATTACAACCGAAAATCCGGGAACTACCGAAGAACCAGGAAATCCCAGCACACTGAATCCCACTGACTCCACACCTGAGGTGACAAATCCTACCAGCGAGGCTCCAACCGACCCCCCAATTACAACTGAAAATCCGGGAACTACCGAAGAACCAGGAAATCCCAGCACACTGAATCCCACTGACTCCACACCTGAGGTGACAAATCCTACCAGCGAGGCTCCAACCGACCCCCCAATTACAACCGAAAATCCGGGAACTACCGAAGAACCAGGAAGTCCCACTGACTCCACACCTGAGGTGACAAATCCTACCAGCGAGGCTCCAACCGACCCCCCAATTACAACTGAAAATCCGGGAACTACCGAAGAACCAGGAAATCCCAGCACACTGAATCCCACTGACTCCACACCTGAGGTGACAAATCCTACCAGCGAGGCTCCAACCGACCCCCCAATTACAACCGAAAATCCGGGAACTACCGAAGAACCAGGAAGTCCCACTGACTCCACACCTGAGGTGACAAATCCTACCAGCGAGGCTCCAACCGACCCCCCAATCACAACCGAAAATCCGGGAGAAGAACCAGGAATCCCAGCACACTGAATCCCACTGACTCCACACCTGAGGTGACAAATCCTACCAGCGAAGCTCCAACCGACCCCCCAATTACAACCGAAAATCCGGGAACTACCGAAGAACCAGCAAGTCCCACTGACTCCACACCTGAGGTGACAAATCCTACCAGCGAGGCTCCAACCGACCCTCCAATTACAACCGAAAATCCGGGAACTACCGAAGAACCAGGATATCCCAGCACACTGAATCCCACTGACTCCACACCTGAGGTGACAAATCCTACCAGCGAAGCTCCAACCGACCCCCCAATTACAACCGAAAATCCGGGAACTACCGAAGAACCAGGAAGTCCCACTGACTCCACACCTGAGGTGACAAATCCTACAGCGAAGTTCCACCGACCCCCCAATTACAACCGAAAATCGGACTACCGAAGAACCAGGAAATCCCAGCACACTGAATCCCACTGACTCCACACCTGAGGTGACAAATCCTACCAGCGAAGCTCCAACCGACCCCCCAATTACAACCGAAAATCCGGGAACTACCGAAGAACCAGGAAGTCCCACTGATTCCACACCTGAGGTGACAAATCCTACCAGCGAAGTTCCAACCGACCCCCCAATTACAACCGAAAATCCGGGAACTACCGAAGAACCAGGAAATCCCAGCACACTGAATCCCACTGACTCCACACCTGAGGTGACAAATCCTACCAGCGAAGCTCCAACCGACCCCCCAATTACAACCGAAAATCCGGGAACTACCGAAGAACCAGGAAGTCCCACTGACTCCACACCTGAGGTGACAAATCCTACCAGCGAGCTCCAACCGACCCCAATTACAACGAAATCCGGGAACTACCGAAGAACCAGGAAGTCCCACTGACTCCACACCTGAGGTGACAAATCCTACCAGCGAGGCTCCAACCGACCCCCCAATTACAACCGAAAATCCGGGAACTACCGAAGAACCAGGAAATCCCAGCACACTGAATCCCACTGACTCCACACCTGAGGTGACAAATCCTACCAGCGAGGCTCCAACCGACCCCCCAATTACAACCGAAAATCCGGGAACTACCGAAGAACCAGGAAGTCCCACTGACTCCACACCTGAGGTGACAAATCCTACCAGCGAGGCTCCAACCGACCCTCCAATTACAACCGAAAATCCGGGAACTACCGAAGAACCAGGATATCCCAGCACACTGAATCCCACTGAATCCACACCTGAGGTGACAAATCCTACCAGCGAGGCTCCAACCGACCCGCCAATTACAACCGAAAATCCGGGAACTACCGAAGAACCAGGAAATCCGAGCACACTGAATCCCACTGACTCCACACCTGAGGTGACAAATCCTACCAGCGAGGCTCCAACCGACCCACCAATCACAACTGAAAATCCGGGAACTACCGAAGAACCAGGAAATCCCAGCACACTGAATCCCACTGACTCCACACCTGAGGTGACAAATCCTACCAGCGAGGCTCCAACCGACCCCCCAATTACAACCGAAAATCCGGGAACTACCGAAGAACCAGGAAATCCCAGCACACTGAATCCCACTGACTCCACACCTGAGGTGACAAATCCTACCAGCGAGGCTCCAACCGACCCCCCAATTACAACCGAAATCCGGGAATACCGAAGAACCAGGAAATCCCAGCACCTGATCCCACTGACTCCACACCTGAGGTGACAAATCCTACCAGCGAGGCTCCAACCGACCCCCCAATCACAACTGAAATCCGGAACTACCGAAGAACAGGAAATCCCAGCACACTGAATCCCACTGACTCCACACCTGAGGTGACAAATCCTACCAGCGAGGCTCCAACCGACCCCCCAATTACAACCGAAAATCCGGGAACTACCGAAGAACCAGGAAATCCCAGCACACTGAATCCCACTGACTCCACACCTGAGGTGACAAATCCTACCAGCGAGGCTCCAACCGACCCACCAATCACAACCGAAAATCCGGGAACTACCGAAGAACCAGGAAATCCCAGCACACTGAATCCCACTGACTCCACACCTGAGGTGACAAATCCTACCAGCGAGGCTCCAACCGACCCCCCAATTACAACCGAAAATCCGGGAACTACCGAAGAACCAGCAAGTCCCACTGACTCCACACCTGAGGTGACAAATCCTACCAGCGAGGCTCCAACCGACCCCCCAATCACAACCGAAAAACCGGGAACTACCGAAGAACCAGGAAGTCCCAGCACACTGAATCCCACTGACTCCACGCCTGAGGTGACAAATCCTACCAGCGAGGCTCCAACCGACCCGCCAATTACAACCGAAAATCCGGGAACTACTGAAGAACCAGGAAATCCCAGCACACTGAATCCCACTGACTCCACACCTGAGGTGACAAATCCTACCAGCGAGGCTCCAACCGACCCCCCAATCACAACTGAAAAACCGGGAACTAGTGAAGAACCAGGAAGTCCCAGCACACTGAATCCCACTGACTCCACGCCTGAGGTGACAAATCCAACGTCGGTGGATTCAACCACATTAGCTCCAACAGAATCCACCACCAAGCCTCCCAGTATTATTCAGACTTGTCCTGGATCTTCACCAAGTAGTTGGAATCCTGGAACTTCGACTTGCTCACGGCCTTTGTGTACTGAAGAGCAATATCGTGATAATGTGCACTTGCCAAGCAGGCAGCCTCATAAATTCTATCAGTGTGAAATTCCCGGACTTCCTGTTGAAAAAGAATGTCCTGGAGGAACTTGTTTCAGTTCTGAATATCGCGTCTGCGTGCATCCTTACCAGTGGAAGAACCCATGTGATGGCGTTTTGCCAGCGTGATTCATGTTGGAGAAATTTGATAAAAATGAATCGAGATCGTGTGGTATTGTAAATGAATAAAAAGTTGTTCATGTATACATGTGGAATATACTTTATTTCTTTATGTTTTTATGACTTGTAAATGATTCTATAACTGAAGAAATTTTGGAACAATCGATTGGGTTCATGCTGAATAATGTTTTTTGTTCAAGAGGTTCGAAAACAATTTCCTGTATCCCAAGATAATCATGAATTCGTGATAAGGTAGTTTCGCTATTGACGTTTAGTCGTCTGTACAATAATCAAAAAGATTGAGTAGTCTTAATTTTTCCCTATTTTTAAACAGTTATTGTAAGACGCATCAAAACTCTAAAAAATCATCTATAATTATATAAACTTTAATTGTAGTGTCATATTTTAATAGGTAAATATCGTTGTTAAGTAGTTTTTTTCATCTTTGCTTATTTTTGATTATTCTATTTTTGACTTATATCAATTTTATATATATATATATATATATATATAACTGAAATAAGTCAAGAATATTTATTATGCAATTCAAGAGACATAAAAATATCACGTCTTTATCATTCGCTTTTCTCAAGATTATGACTTCCACAATCAATAGACACACAATCAGCTACAATCGAAACGATAACTGATACCCCTTGCTAGCATGAGCCACCAATTAAACGGAAAGAGAGTGATAATCCGTCTCAAGTATTTAAGACAGTGCGAGTGCGCACTTTTATTTAGTCTTTCGAAGTCCTCTGACCAAACATACGAAAAATGATAGATAAACTCAGTATTACAGTAGCACAAGTGATATTACTCATAGCTCTTTGCATTGGATCGGGAACAAGTTCAGTGTCTGATGACGGAAAACCAGGATGCCGGACTCGATATGAGTTTACCAGGCTTTGGCGTCACTCAACAGTGAATGAAAATTTCTGGGAGTGCACAAATTGGCGCGAAGCGACTCCAAGACAGTGTCCCAAGCAAACTCAGTTCCATGAGTGGTGGCAAACGTGTGTTCCAGCTCAAATGTGGGACGAAACTCCATTTAGATCACCACCAACGAGTGCGTATGATGATGAAGACGCTTGTGAACCGCTTGAATTTGAGCCGCAATGTCCACTTGAACCTGGACCAACTGAGCCTACCCCAGAAGAGCCCACCACAGAAGAACCCTCAACAGATACCACCCCAGATGAGCCTGAGAGTACTACGGACAATCCTGTAACAGAACCCTCTACAAATAGCTCTCCGGAGGAGCCTGAGAGTACTACGGAAAATCCTGTAACAGAACCCTCTACAAATAGCTCTCCGGAAGAGCCTGAGAGTACTACGGAAAATCCTGTAACAGAACCCTCTACAAATAGCTCTCCGGAGGAGCCTGAGAGTACTACGGAAAATCCTGTAACAGAACCCTCTACAAATAGCTCTCCGGAGGAGCCTGAGAGTACTACGGAAAATCCTGTCACCGAGCCCTCTACAAATAGCTCTCCGGAGGAGCCTGAGAGTACTACGGACAATCCTGTAACAGAACCCTCTACAAATAGCTCTCCGGAGGAGCCTGAGAGTACTACGGAAAATCCTGTAACAGAACCCTCTACAAATAGCTCTCCGGAGGAGCCTGAGAGTACTACGGAAAATCCTGTCACTGAACCCTCTACAGATAGCTCTCCGGAGGTGTCTGAAAGTACACCGGAAAATCCATCCACAGAACCAGAGGAAACAACTCCACCCAACACAGAGAGCCCAACAGTACCAACAACTCAATCCCCATTCATGAAATGCCCTGGTGCTGATGATACACACATGATTGAGGGTAGTCTGAACTGTGCACGACCTACTTGCACAAATGACTTATATCAGAGTCGCATGCGTCTACCAGCTGTGGATCCTGGACAGTACTACACTTGTCTCACCCCAACTGTTCTTAGGGTGAACACTTGTTTGGAGCCGAAACATTGCTTCAGCTACGCCTTACAGGAGTGCGTTGAGCCAGAGCGATGGTTCAATCCTTGCGGAGCAGTTTAAAATATGGCAAAAAGCGTACAATATTGACGTGTGATACGATTTGAAGCCTTTAATAAAGTACTTTTATCAAATACGTTTCTTCAATCATACACCATATTTTTATGACCTTTCCAATATTGTCGAAATCTTTACAACTTGCGATAATTTCATTCGACAATGTGTCGCACAAATTCTGTCTATATTTCACAATAAGATAAGGGATGAGAATTGATCGCAAACAAAAATTCCCCAAATTTATTGCTTGACCACAATTTCCGATTATTCATTAAGAATTTCCTCAATTAAATGTAATCCAAACCTATGTGAATTGGATAATTTCCTCATGATATGAACTGAATCTGCAGATTGTCTCACTTCAAATGACGGTGATTCACTGTGATAAACTCCCATTTACTAAAGAGCATTTAAACTTTACAACAAGTAGAATTGTCTGGAAATTTTTTCTATATACCTGAGTGTTTCGAGTATTAAGTAATGCTTCTCTGTGTATGTCAATGCTATATGTTGAACTTCTAGGAATTCTTAAATATGAAGGCATCCCTGAATGAGAATTTTTGTGGGCAAAAACTTTCCCCAATGCCTTATCAAAACAACTCATACCATTGTTGACGTTAATTCTTTTATGGTTATTGCAGTGGAGGGAATTGGAAGAAAACTTTGATTCTGTTATTGACACACAGCTATAAAGACACAAATTGATAAGATTTTTATATTCCACAAATTTTAGCCATTCCGAGTATAAAAGGTACCCAAAGTCTGTTCGATCAATTCAGTTTTTTCTTAGCAGTGAAACGATAAACAACGCGAAATCATGTTAAGTGTCCTCTTGATTGTTACCCTCCTTAGCACTTTGTCTTGGGCTCGTCCTCAGTGCCGCAACCCTGATGACTTTAATCATGGGTTTGCAGTGCAGGGTAGTCCTCATCACTACTGGGAGTGTGTGGCAGTTGGAGTTGCAGAATTGAAAGAGTGCCCAGCCAATACGGAGTTTAGTGAGGAATACTTCAAGTGCTTGACTCCGGGAGTCATTCCTCCACCTGACGAAAACACTCCGCCTCTGACATGTCAAGACGGCTTCGCCGTGGATCTCTCAGTAAATCCTCCAGCGTGTATAGAATTGCGATGTGCGGTTAATCAGATTGTTATTCATCCGCCAACTGGAGTGCCTGAATGTTTTACTCTCTGCCCTGAGGGTAGTTCTGCAAATGCTAATGGCCTATGCGAAAGCATTCCTAACACGCAATGTCCTGGAGCATCTCCTGAAAGTCATCTTACCACAGGGTAAGTCTAACTAGTGTAAATCAGAATTTACGTCTTATTCTGCAAGCAATCATATCTCAAATTCCTTTCGCAGTTTTGAAACATGTCAGATTCCAAGCTGTACCGGAAGTGACCTCAGTGCCAATCGTCACTGGCCTTCCAGTGATCCTACGAAATTTTTCCAATGCAAAGGCGAGGGAAACCCAGTCGAAACCAATTGCTCGCCTAATCTTTGCTTTGACGTGAGATGGCAAGTTTGCGTCTTCCCCCATGATTGGACAAACTCTTGCTCTGCCTAATTTGTGTCAGTCAATAAAGATTATCTACAGAAACTTTTATTCCACTTCCTGTCCGTTTTCCTCTGATAACTGAAGTAAGTGCTGCAGTACGCAAAAGATCGAGATCGAGACGCAACTGGGAAGCAATTGAAGATAGTGACGCAAGTGGTCAGATGAGAGGTAAATAAGGGGAGACCGTCTGCTTCGCAAGTCCAGTGATAAGACATAATATAAAGATGATAAATGTAAATATTTTATAGCTGACAGTCCGAGCGAATGATTAGTCATTTTATTTACATTTCACTTTCACAGTGTCTCAAATTGATATACGGTCACAGGTGAATTTTCAATAGAATTCATTAGCATTTATTTTTATGACATACCAATTGGGCTCTTTGACGCAAATCTCAATTTTTGGCACCTCACTCATCACTGCTGATTTCTAATATCATTAACTCTCCAGATTTTGCTATGTTGGTGATCTCTTTACGATGCTATTGCATTATTTCAAGCGAAGAGACAGGAAGACACTAAATTTCGTGATATTATTTGAGGCAAATTCCACATTAAATCCTTGTTGTGAGATTCTCTTGAAATATCTCCTCAATGTCACAATATTTTCACTACATTGCAACCATGAACGAAACTTTAAGCCTTTCACGCGCACAACACAGTCGAAGATATTGTGCGCGCAAGAGTATTCAGCGCGACACACAAATTCAAACTAAATTGACGGAAAATTCTTTAATTGCACCTGAGTATGTGACTGGCTTGAGGTGTGTTGATGATCGTGATCTTGATTCCGATGCTGCGTGTCACTCTAACATTGAGGAGACCATTTTTCCTGTCCTCCCCACACCATCGACATGGGGAAAAGCTACACAGAACTGGTGCGCGATAAACGAGAGGAATTATAATGTTTGTGGAGTAAAAAATGATCGAACGCGTCTCTCCCGATTCTCCTTGCCACACTGACAAAATTCCTGGCGTCTCTCTTGTAAAGCCCATCCATGATACGAGACCTCGTCGATGTTTCGGTACAAGAGCTTCTCTAAAATAGGAGGAGGAGCGTGGGTGGAAAAGAATTTATGAAATCCCTCATTTTATTTTTGACAATCAGCTCCTTCGTCACAGCTAGGAAAGCCAAATGATGAAAGATTCACTGTTTTGTGGAAAATCATTCACCATATTTTATGCTCTTCGGGAAATCTTGTTCTCGTATTAATGAATTTATTTATCAATTGCATGATAAATTTGAAGAGAGTGTGAATTATTATTCAAATAATAAACAGGTTTTGCAAGGTTAAATGGAGCGGATCATGACTCTTTCATCGAATATATAAAATTCAGTTAAGTGAAGATCACACATTTTATTTATTTAATGCAATGTGTCTTTGAACTATAACTTCATATGATTACTTTTAATTTTTCATTCACACGTATTATTGAATATCAAGACGAAAAATATAAATAAATTTCACAGAAGTCCCAAAAATAGTTTTTTTTGAAAACGGTACAGAAATTATTTTTTATGTTTCATATAGCTCAAATATTCATATCTCTTAATTTATACGTTTTTGTACTTTTGCACAAATTAACACCCACTCCATAATGAAGAGCATTTAACAGGATAGACATAAACTATATTTAGACTTGAAGATACAGCGCATTCGGACAAATTAACTCCGATTATTTATGGCTTTCTGCATTGCAGTAAATTTGGTCAATTTTCACACTAATTCAAATGGAATGCAGCAAAAAATCATATTATTAGCCACAATTCTGTCAAGAAGAGAATTGTACTGAGTCAATTTGTGCTACACATAAGCGAAAAATGGATCGGAATAGCATTTGGAAGCCTTAAAATAAAGGTGTATTACTTAGCTCTCATCCCCTAGCAATCTTCCATCCATTTTGTGCTGTTCCTCAATAAATATTTGCACATCGACGGCAGTGGATCCCCACGAAGCCACTGTCGCTTGGTACTTTTTTCAGGGGTGGCAATTATTTGAAGGAAACCACCGCACACAACAAGAAGGATAAGGTATAAAATGAGGGCTTTTCGTATACTTATACTCTCGTATATCCTTCATAGAGAGAATTATGTTCATCATCAAAATTTCTTATGAGATAATTCACGAGTTTATACTTGCCGCTGGCAAAGAAAATCCCCGTTGTAATACTTCTATTGCCTCCGAGTATTATAATAAAAAAAAAATTCACCTAACATTTTTATGCCTCATCTCTCAATCGTATTACTTTTTCCCCAGATAAATGTAGGTATTTAAATTTTAAAATTGGCTTGAATGTGACTAAATTTTCGGGAAAGTTAGAGTCTATTCTGAATTCAAAAAAGTAAAGCGTCAAGTCCAATGAAACATACAGTATATTGTTGTACAAATATTTGTATTGCAAAAATATGTTGAATTGAGTAAACTTTCTGAAAATTCATCCTGCCTAAATAAAATTAAATCGATCTGAATAGGTAAGGTATTAAATTAGCTTTAGTAAATCTATTATCGCTATTTGAAGCTCCCTTAAATGGATCTAAATCATTGTAATAATCATATATCATCAATAGTGCGGATAATTTATCAGAAATATTGTATGTAAGTACATAGCAGAGGGTATAATTTTCGAATGAATGTAATTATGTATGAAGGAATGTACATATTGTACATAATTAATAAGTTATTTGCGTGAAACGCAAACATTTAACGCATTTCACGTATGCTCTAATGGAAAAACTGAAAATGAGTTCAACCAAAGCTGTGCTCGTCCTTGTAAAACTCTGAAAAGATGCACATTCTCTCTTTCCGACGACAAAACTTTCATACAAACCGACAGAAACTCACACGTGAGACTTTCCAGTGAAGTGTATGAAATCATTAAATTTTCACAGCTCTGGGCGAACTCATGTATTCGCGAGTTATTGAAAAATGAAGCTTGTCCTGAAAAAGTCCTCATAGGAGCTCAAAAGACCTGTAGAACAACACGCAGGCGCTTGAAAAAGTTTTCACCGCGTAGCGAAGAAAAGGCAGATGAACGAAAAAGATCTAGGAGTGAAATCTTCATGTATAAGATGCTCCACAAGCAATAGGCACATTAACAAGGTGGAAAGTTTTCCATATTCAGCACACACATACTCGAAATGGGATTTTGTCAATAAGTACGGGGCGTTGGGGGCGATTGAGAGAATTTTGACCTTCAGAAACTTTTAAGCTTCAGCAATAATTTTCATGTTAAACCTTTAGATGCCTTGGAGATGATGTATCATAGTAGGAATCCATCTCGAATTATTGCACATGAGAAATCATCTGAAATTAGATTGTAAATGATGGAGAAAAGGATGGGGTTTTCGGGCGAGCAAAATTGTGGGTAGATTATTTATAGAGTTTTCTCTCTTATGGCAAAACGACGCCATAATAAAAATATATCGTCTATAATAATGTCAAGGTTGATAATTTTACCCGGCTTTTATATGTGTATTATCA